AGTTTTCAAGAGAAACTCATTCTTCATTTCCTCAAAATTTCGAGATTTAGAGTGTTTCCGAGGGGATTGTTCACCACAATCACTATTATTGGTAAGTTATTCTCAAAAACCAACACCTTCTTTCATTTTAGCACCAAGAACTCCTCCTTACATAGTTTTATTCCATGATCACAACTTAGAAGCTCCATAAGCTCGAGATCCACATCAAGGTGTTGCTAGGACCAAAAATCTTCTTCACATCTTCTTCAAAACCGAAAAAACTAAGCAAGGTGAGTTCATACCCCCTTGTTTTTAGTTTTGACTTGTTTTTTTTTCGGGGGGGGGGGGGGGGGGGGGGAGAGAGAATACAAGTATTCTGTGATGATCTATGTGTGTTTGCATGTTATGTGTGATTTCTTTAGTTTTTGGTTGTGATAATATGAAATATTTGAGACATTTTGAGATCTATAGCAAAAAGGGTGAAAGAATCATAAAAAAAAACATAATAAACAATATACATCATAGATCTAAGGGTCCTTAAGTTTAAAAAGTGAAAAACAAAGCCAAAGAAATTTACAAGTGTGATTTTTGCAAAAATAACAAAGATTGGGTGTAAATTGTAAGTTATCGGTTTTATGGGGGTTATAAGGTGTTTATTTGTATAAAATTTGATTTTTATGAAAAAAATAATTTTCAAAGGGTCAAAAACGTAAATTTTAACTTATTGGGCTTTAAATTGTGCCTCACGAGTTTTTGGGCCCAAGGTTGCGCAAAAAAATGAAGTTTTGAGGGGATGAAATGAAAAACTTAACAAACCATGAGTCTAAAACGTAAATAAACTATTTCAAGGGTTGAAAATGATTTTATTACCAAATTGGACTAAAAATGCAAAGTTTTTGATTTTGGGGTCAAAATTGTAAAACTTACGGAAAATGGGCCAAAAATGTAAACTTTTTTCAAATAAAGGCTGGAAATGACAAATGCAATATTTTTGGATTGAAATTACTATTCACATAAAGTTTGGGTAGAAAATGTCAAGAAAAATGGTTTAATGACCAAAAATGTCAATTTTCTTAAAAAGGGGACTAAAAGTGCCATTTTTAAAGAAAAATGGGCCAAAATGGTCAATCTAAATGTTTTTGGGCCAAATAAACGATTATGAGTTTTTTGGGTTAAAAGTATCAAGCTTATAACACATGATTATATATATATATATATATATATATATATATATATATATATATATATATATATATATATATATATATATATTTACTATCTTATAAAAGAAATCTCACTATTTCTAAAAATAGATTCATTATAAAAATAATATTTTTTAAGACGTCCAAACCATGAAGCTAATAGTACAAATAAACAATAATAAAATAATATTAAACTTTTAAACCCAAACATTCTAGATCAAGTTTACACGTTTGTTTTAATTCTCAAATTCAAATGTCATCAAATTAGGCTTAAATGTCGCCCATATCTTTAGAAAGCTTTTGACCATCTCTTATCATACGCTCCCTAATTTAACACACACTGCAAATTCAAATTGAAATTTACGCTTACCTGATCTCTTTAAGCCACCCTCCCCTAATATAGTCTCTATCATCATAATCTCTCCAAAAACCCTACCTCCTACCATTGTCGTCACCACGGACGTTAGTACAAGCTGCCGGTGTTACAACCTGCTACGACGACCACAATCGGCATCACCTAGAGCCACAGTCACCACTATCTTACGATTTTCCATCAAGACCTTCACCACCAAGTTTGCTGTCACCTACAGCCGCCACAATTCATAACTCTCACGGTTCACATGTAACTCGATTTATTTTCGTGTATACTTTTTCTTAAGATGTGATTTTCTTTCATTTTGTTTTCTCAATCGCATTGTCTACAACACCTCCTTCTCCATACTTCTTTATTTAACCCCCCACGATTTCATGTCCTAGGTATCAAATGTTCTTGAAGTCTTCCAAGAGTGTATCGAACAAACAAGATAAAGGTTCTGGTTTCTGTTTACTTGGTTTGATTTATGGGTTTTCTTCTCAAGTATTTTTAAAGAAATACACGAGGTTATTTTTCTTTTCTTTTCCCCAGTATAAAATACATAAAAAAAACACCATTTGGTGTGTTTTTTGTTGAAGATTTTACCTTTACGTGAATATTTTGGCTTTATCCAGGGTTTATAGGTGCATCCTTCTTATTCGACATCATGCTCATCTTCTAGATGTGTTTGGTGCTTGGAAATGAACGAAAATCCACATTTGTAAGTTTTTATCTTTCTCATGTTTTATGATTTAGACTTCACTATTTAGATTGATGTGCTCTGTTTATTTTTTGGCATTTTTGTTCTATTAAGACTAACATTAAGTATCATGCGTATTATGTTCTTTTTTTTTTTTTTTTTTTTGTAGCTACAGAGAAAAATGTACTTGTTATGCAAATCAGAAAACCGATATTGAAAAAATATCATCGGTCATTTTTTTTATATGGCCGTTTCATGTTTTGTCATAATATAATAATAATATCACTTAAATAAAACAATTGATGCATTTTTTATGGTTTATGTGTTAAATAGTTGTTCATTAAGAGTGTTATGTGTTTGAGCGACATCTATGGATTCACATTTTAGGTTTGCAGGGCATGTGATACAATCGAAGTTGAAAGAGAGTGCTATCTAAACGGGTGCTTATTTATGGGAAGTGTCAGATGGTTCTTTTTGTGTGTAGGATGGTAAAATAATTGGGCATCATTGATATAACCTATCACCGAAAGAACCTACGTGCTCCGCAGCTTTGTGCGGGTACACTGCTAGTATATATATATATATATATATATATATATATATATATATATATATATATATATATATATATATATATATATATATATATATAACTTCGTTATAATTCGAACGTTAAGATATTTTTTTTAAACATTGTGAATAAACATTTAGCATACAACAAATACCAACAATACAAACTTAAACTTGATCAAAACATAAGCGATTCAATTGTTGGGCTCAAATACCTTCTATTCGTGCTATTGGGCATTTGTGGCCCAATATCATGATTTTTGGGCCCAACATAATTGCACATGTTTATTGTTGTTACAAGTGACTCAATTACATGCCTAAAGGACCCTCAATGACTTTTACATGCTATTGGGCCGTAGTGGCCAATTTGTATTGCTAGTAAGGTCCAAATCAATTATATGTGTGATGGGCTAACATGTTCGTCGCATACTCGACACCCTATAATAACATACGTGATTAGTGGGCCCCCGTGTCCTCTTCTCTTCATCTGTTAGGCTTACCTTTTATTTAAGTAAACATAAATCAGGTCGTTAAAAAAGGTTATTCAATTTCATTTGGATTTAGTGAGTAATAAACACGCAACACCAATAAGTGTCGGTCGTAGTCTGTAGTTATAATCAAAGTCTCCTGGAGGGAGAGCGAGTTTGTGTATAGATCTATACGGGGGTAACTCCTCACACCTAAGTTGTTTGCTATAGTTAGACGGGGGTAACTCCTCACACCTAAGTTGTTTGCTATAGTTAGACTCGGCCAGTCTAGGGTGATAAAATCTTAATTCAATACCGACATTCGCAAGAATGCAAAGACAGACGAGTTAGTCATTATTATGCATGGTTATAACGACTTACATTGAGATCCAATACCATCTAAGTAATCATGGGGAATCATATTCATTCCATTGTGACGATACAATAATACAAAAAGATCATACTATTCATATCGGAAAACATCGGGTTTTCTCGGGGAGCAACATTATTCACTTTTACTTTCAATAACTATAATACAATAATTTTTTATGAGAAACATATAACTCTTACACGTTTTGAAATTATTCACGCATATACTAATGGATCATCACACCTATTTCGTGAACAATTGCCGTTTCAGAAAATATCGGATTTTGTGGGTTTTACAAACTATACAAAACATTTTCATATCAAACCTGCCTATGAACTCACCAACATTATATATGTTGACAATTTTCAAAATAACTTGTATTCTCAGATAACAGATAAACTGAAGAAAATTACCAAGTATGTTAGGATGTTATGTTTTGTGACTCTCAAACAATTTATGCTATGGATATGTAAAATTTAGACAATGTACTTGATGTGAACAATGTCAGTTGTAATGTATTAATGCATGGTGATGTTTATTTTATGTTTCATGTATATTTATTGTGATGATATTTCAATGTAAGTCACGCGAGCCCTTGGACGTTTCCGCCGTCTGGTACGGGGGTGTGACAACTTCAGGCCGGAACCGACCCGAACCCGAATAACTCGAAACCCAAATTGGATGAAAAATGAGAATCGAAACCCGGACTGATTATACTAATACAAACCAGTTCGGTTCGGGTAATACGGGTTTCGGCTCGGTTATTGACCCGAAAGGACTGAAATAACCCAAAAAAACATTTACACTATGCTTTTGAACTGAATAACCAAAATAAACCGAAATAACCCGAATAACCCAAATAAACCGAAATGGCCCGAATAACCAAAATAAGGAAAATTCTATATCTAATTCAAGAAAAAAAATATTAATTTAATATAAATTTTTTCATGAACTAAATATAGAATTTCTTTATTTGGGTTATTCGGGTCATCTCGGTTTATTTGGGTTATTCGGGTCATTCCGGTTTATTTGGGTTGTTCGGTTGAAATGACTATTCACTTTTCGGGTCGGTCTTTTTGGTCCGACTAAACTTTTATTCAGGTAACCCAAACAGAATAACCCGAAACCCGAATTGGGCAAAAATAGATACCCGAGAACCGACCCAAATAATTTATTCGGTCCTAATTCGGGTTGGTCCGGTCCGGGTTTCGGTTTCGGTTCGGGTATTCGGTCCAAATGCACATCCCTAGTAAAGGCACTACAATCTTTTTTTGTGTCGAGGGGACTAAATATGTGATAAATAAATACCACATGTATGGTCCGAGTGAAAAAAAAAATGGGGATGAAACGGTCAAATTGCCCCAAACTAGAGAGATGATTTGTGTAATTATCCAATATTTAATGACGTGGGTGGAGAAATGTAAGCTATATGTTATTTTTAAAATGTATTAAAGACTTGTAGACAAATAATCAATATTGTAGGCTCAATTCTGCTACGAATTCGTTGATGTTCTTGTCTGAGGTTCCACCTTCTTCGATAGCTTCTATCGCTAAATCCCTCCATTTGGTTGCGTTTTTCCTGATCTCGATGCTTTTCTCTCCTTCCATGACTTGCCTTATGCACGCATCCAACACTCGTCTGGTCACAATCCCATTAACATCTTGCTTAGCCCGGACTCCCACACCCCAAACATCCTCAACATACTTAGCATTTGTGGTCTGATCGGACCATTGTGGCATTGCAACCATCGGCACACCCAAACCAATTGCTTCAAGAACTGAGTTGAGCCCACAATGTGTAACAAAGCATCCTATTGACTCATGAGTCAATACTTCCAATTGAGGACACCATGCCACAACTAACCCTTTCTTTGACATGCCATCGACAAACTCTTGCGGGATATTGTCCTCTAAAGAAGACTTAACCACCCACAAGAAGCTAAAACCACCATCACTCAAACTACATGTTATTTCTTTCATTTGCTCAGATCCAGGCTGCATCAAGCTCCCAAATGCTAAGTAAACAACCGATCTTTTCGGCTTGTTGTTTAGCCAGTTCATGCATTCAACCCGTTTTGGTTTGAACACATTCACTCCATACTCTCGATCATCTAACAATCGTTTGTCAAGGTACATTGATGGAAGCGTTGGGCCTATCGTCCTCACACGCCACAACTTCCCCATCCAATTGACCACCTATGCATGTTACAATCAAAGAATTACGATTTTTAGCATCAGATAAAATCCTTTACGCATCAGTAGTAAATAGTTTCAAGAAAAATCACAACCTCTTCCTCTAATTTGTAAAATGAGTTGATCAACACCCAATCTGCTTGATCAATGTTGGTAAATTGACCAAAAACTAGATCAGAAACAGCAGGAAACAAGTCAAATTTGTGCACGAATGAAGGAGTTTCCCAGTATTCAAGTGGTGGTAATCCAGGAAGTGAGACTAATGAATCCGAATCCGACAATGGGATTTGGAGAAGGTTTCTGTTGACATGATAGTAAATATTATTGACAGCACAAGTTTGAGTGAAGAAGACGACTCCCATGATCTTGAATTGCTTGGAGACATCAAGAGCCCAAGGCAAAAACCCGTCATAAACAATGGCGTTGACACCCCCTAGTTTTTGAATAAGATCCGATAGGGACTTTGGGCCTACTTCACGAAGCTTTGGGAAGTAAACATCTGGGGACACAATTTGATCAGGGCAATTGTCATCAAACCCATCAGAGAATGTTTCGAAGGTGATGAGGGTGTTGTTAAGGTCGATATGGACATTTTTGGAGAAGGAAAATGTTGTTGCAAATGTTGTTTTGATGCCTTTGGCAACCAAGCGTTTGCAGAATTGGATCATGGGGTTAACGTGGCCTTGAGCAGGGTATGAGAGCACCAGAACGTGAGGCTGTTTTCGTGTTGAACTCATTGTGTTAGCGTCGAAGCTAAATGCTTGGTTGAAACGTGTCTAAAATAAGATAGAGGTCTTGCATTTGAATCATATGGTTTTATATATATATATATATATATATATATATATATATATATATATATATATATATATATATATATATATATCGGCTAATTAATTACCAAAATGATCCCAAATACGCTAAACGCCATAACAAATATGGGAAAATATGATTTTATTAATATGTATCTAGAGACGATCACTATTCAATATGAATGAAACATACCGTTTATCTTGCAACCACGATAAGAACGAGGTATCATTGTTTTACGTTGGTGAGCATTTAAAATAGTAAATTCCGCCTTCATTTTTATAATTATATCCATACCTTTGACCTCTTAATAAACATCAATCTTAATGTTTTATTTTAGGATATTATCATCTTAATGAATATGTAACTTTACAGCACCAAATAAGTGTTGATTTTTTTTTCTAACTTCAACCTTATATTAATCGGCTTTGATTCAAAAGTGCATCTTTATATTTACACACCAATACAGCTTCCAGCTTAAACAGAGTCTATAAAAGTTTTACACTAATCAAAACATACCTAAAATACAATTTAATCAGATTAAATCAAAAACACTTGTGAACTAATATCGCTAATAAAAAGTTGACACTTGACTTTCTATCAAAGGTCAAACTCAAAACGGACACCATAATCTGTAAACATATGTATCTATATATATATATATATATATATATATATATATATATATATATATATATTTCAACAACAACAACAACAACAAACTAACTAACAAATTAATTACATATAAATCATACCTTATCTTCAAAACTCCTTCTGTACACCACCAGCAACAATAAGTTCAATATGACCACCATCACCACTATCACTCGGCATCATCAACACCTCATCATCCGCTGAAAAATTATACCGAGCACCAATCGCCCGTAACAACTGATACACTTCAAACATCGAGGGCCTCTCCTTATGAGCCTGGACCACACAATTACACGCAATTTTCAAAAACTGAAAAACCTCACTTTCATTTCTCTTCTCCACAAACGACTTATCAATTGAGTCCTGAAGCCTCCCTTCAGACGATAACTCAATAACCCATTCAGGCAAACTCCCCTTAAAAGTTTCCGGAGCTTTACTGATATGTGTTGGTCTTTCACCGGTCACCAATTCCAAAAGGACAACCCCGAAACTATACACATCGCCTTTTGGGGTGGCCACGAGGGTACGCGCGTATTCGGGGGCCACGTATCCCAAATCGCCGAATTCCCCATTTACAAAAGTACTCAAATGCGTGTCTACTGGATTCATGAGCCTTGCGAGCCCAAAATCAGAGATTCTGGGCTCGAGGTCGGAATCCAGTAGAATGCATTTTGAACTTATGTTACGGTGAAGGATACGCGGGTTGCAGTTATGGTGGAGCCATGCTAACCCTTTGGCTATGCCGATTCCGATTTTTAGCCTCGAAGGCCAATCGAGGGGTTTTGTGTCATTTTCCAATAGATGGAGTTTGTCATGGAGGTTACCGTTTGCCATGTATTTGTAGACTAAAAGGCGTTCTTTTTTCGCGACACAAAACCCTAAAAGTGGGACTAAGTTTCGGTGTTTGACTTTTCCGAGGGTTGACATTTCAGATGCGAATTCCTTCTCGGAATGTTGAGTGTCTTGTAATCTTTTGATCATAAGCAAACTGCCATCTTCGAATTCTGCTTTGTATAAACACCCGGTTCTTCCTGACCCGATGATATTATCTTTGCTGAAACTGTTGGTGGCTTTCATTAGATCGCTCAATCGCATCTTGGAAACCGGGTTTTCAAACATGGAAAGCTGCAATGACATTAGAAGCTGTCAGATTGATTCACCAAACATGACAGAATAGAGATAAAAAAGGATTAAAATTATATCTTACCTTGATGGTTTTAGCTCCTTTAATACTCTTGGCCCATTTATTTCCATCTGGATCATCATCTTTCCTTTTCCTAACAACCTTACGCATAAAGAACAGCATTCCAAAAACTACAATTAATGCAGCAATAGTGGCCCCACCAACAGCGGCCCCCACAATGACACCCGTATTGGATTTTTTAACGGTTCCTGGACAAGGGGACAAAGAAGGATGCCCACATAACCCCGGATTACCCGTGTAGCTCACTTCTGTACCATTTTGGAAATATGGAACTTGACCAGATAATTGATTGTTAACAACACTAAACTCTTTGAGGCGATTAAGGTTACGTAATTCTAAAGGAATCTGACCCGAAAACCGGTTGTTACCGAGTCTGAGAACATTAAGATAGGAACAGTTTGCAAAGCTTGAAGGGATTTTCCCCGAGAAATTGTTTGAAGATAGATCGAGAGTTGTCACAAACCCTAGAATTTTTGTCATGTTGGTTGGGAGCTTTCCAAAAAGCTTGTTGCTAGAAAGATCTAATCCTGTCATGGAGGTACAATTCTGGAGTGCAAGAGGTAATGTGCCCTTGAGTCCCATGTCTGGGAGTTTTATATTTAGAACCTTGTTTTCATCAGGATGCCAGCATTCGATGCCTGCAAACTTGCAGATGTATCCTTCGGTATTGTTATTAAAATCCCATGAAATTAAGACGTTTTCTGGATCTTCAATTGAAGCTTTAAAGGCTTTAAGGCAATCAATATCACTCTGGACAGCATTGGTACATGTGACACACAAAAGAATGAAGACACAAGTGGTAATTATTGGTATGTTACTTGGTGCCATTGAAGATTTCAAATGTGGCACATATCAAACTTTAGTAATACCCAAGAAAACCTTTTTTTTTTCAAGAACCAAACCTGCAAAAGATAGCAAAACAAACAAGCCGTATTCAGTGATATGTGTAGATGGTATGACATGTTTATGTCATATAGTATTGAGTTAACTCATTTTTGTAATCTGAAAACAAGCTACTGTACCCATACAGTCAAAGAATAAAACAACTTATCTCAGAATTCAGACACTGAGCATGTTGGATATGAGTTTTAAAGTAAGTATTACGACCTAAACAATTATAATTAGCTATTAAAACAGCATCTGGTATTATAGCTAGGGTCATCGTTATGAAATCTTTTATTCAGTTTTCTTGCTGCAACTCTCATCTTAAGAGGGTTATGGCTGTGGGAACTGAGAATGAATGATTACGTGAAATTGAATAATAAGGATAAGATAATGACTAGAAGATAAGAATAAGATAATCAGCTCTAATGTAACAGCCCCTATCTTGATAGTGTTTTAGGAAGTGTTTATGTCATTTAAGATTGTATAAAGAACTAATAAATAAAGTAACAAAAGGAATTTCATTACCAAAAAGGACAGCGTTATGGGAAGTGATAAACAAGAGTCTCTGAACACTAAAACTTCCAAAAATAGGCAACCAAACACTTAATTCTGATTATTTTGACCCAAATAAAGATCAGAACTTTAACGCGCATACAAACACCCCGTAATTTTATGTTCAATTTAGAATTCACGAATTTCAGTTATCCAATTGAGATATAACAAACCCTAATTGAATATTTCGTGGATCCAAATGATTGAATCATAAAATTCGGCAACAGTGAACAAAATTAAGCATCAGTTACTCAGAAAATAAGAAACCCAGAAGCAATTCCACCACTACAACAAATAATTTACGTAAATTTGAAGTTATACTACAACAAAAGGGAATTCTGAAGATGAAGAACGTACAGTGAGGGAGTGAGGATCTTCAGGAGGAAGGTGCCGCTACGTATACTGATAAGAAAGAAGAAGAAATTTTGAATGGATATAAGAGAAAATCGTTGGTAATCTAGTCAAAGAACAAATTTTCTATAGCAGATTCATGCGACGACTGGACCGAAAGCTGCAGCCACTAATAAATGGAATGATTGACTAGCAGTTCTTGACCGAGTAAAACGAAAGCCGTGTGAAGCCATGACTTTTACGAAAGTTTTATTGTTTTTTTTGTGTGGACTTTGAAGGAAATGATATTCCAGACCATTTTGGTATTTTATATGCACCCAATTCACACTCACCCACACACTTTTTACTATTTCCCCCTCTTTATTTTTAAGCGGTGAATTATTTTTATGCAAGTGATCTGAAATAACTGTATACTTATTCATAAATCATAGTAACAATAGATTTTAACTTTTATAACTATACTATAAGTAATATATAATCTCAAGCTTATAAACTGTTATCATGTCATCATGAGCTTTATATTATTGTTATTATTGAACTTAAAGAAAAAAAAAAAATCATCCCTTCACCGTGTATATGCAGCCAATCTTTCTATTTCTTCACTAATATCCCCTGACTAACCTGATCTTCCTAGGGTGCAAGCACTTATTTCACAAGCGAATTGTTTTTGAACCATCATGTTGCATATTTTCATAGGTCAAACATATGAATTCACCAAACTTAGGCTTTCGTTTTAGCAAAATAATGCTCTATTTATTGTGAAAATGATCTTTGGAAATTTCTAAAAAAATGTTTTCTTAACAAGAAAAAAACCCATGGCTTTTGTAAAAATATGAACAACATCGCAATGAATAGCACTTTCATAACCTGAGGTTTCCGAAAAAATAATTTTATTTTTCGAAAATTTTTGGACATTTTCACAGGTCAAACATGCGATTACGATTGAAAAAAAAAAACAACTCTATTGTTTTGGTTATTTCACGGATTTGACCTACGAAATTATGATTATTTGAGTAAAAAAACTTAATTTTCTCTAATCTCAAAATAATAATAATAATAATAATACCTTTACTTAAATTTGTCTTTTTTCTCTAACATCTAATCATTCACTTTAGATCATTTGATATTTTCTGAATTACCGTACCAAATATCTCGATTAACTATCGACTAGTTAACATAAAAGGGAGGAATATATAAGGATGAAAATGATTATTACTCAAAAAGAACCATTTTTGTAACCAAACACAACTTTTTTCCATTACACTAACAAGTAGCAAATGCATAAAGGGAGTGTGGGGTTTTGTCACTTTGTGACTTTGTCAGAAACCGTGTCGTTATACAGTCTCTCCACTTTGGCCCTTCACTTTGCCCTCTACAGTCTACAACTGGCTACTTCCTTGCAAAAACCTCATTCTCCCACCCCAACAAAAAATAGCTTTGATCAAACTATGCAATTATTGTCGGTCCGTTTACCTTCATCAACTTATTCCTTTAAAGCAATCATACATGTTAGATCCAGACGTCCAATTACTTTGCTATTACTAGTTGATGTTAAGGCTACTCGAATTTGATATTTTGATAAATGATAATATGTTTCGTAATTTTTTTATTTATTTATTTATTTTTTTTTTTTTGTGTCCTATGGTTTCAACATCAACATAATTTGTAAGAGTGAATGTTAAGGTTATCACATGTGATTAATGTCTCTGAGTTTTGACTTGTAGTAATGTGTAAAATTCAAAGTTGTAGTAAATAGCATGGAAATGTTAGAATTGATTTGTAGGTATTTGTAACATCTCAAAATTTAAGACCAAAAATTTTATTTTTAATTTAGTAATTATAAAACCATTTTTCTGAAAACATCCATAATATCAACTCATATCAAACCAATGTATCGATAGTCAAACATTTCATGATAAAACAACATCAGAGTATAACTCCCAAAGATCACATGTGCGGAATCATGGTGTGATGCGCTGCAATCATGTCGGCTCTTTTCCTTTCGAAGAAGAAGTACCTAAAACTAAAACTGAAAACCCTAAGCATAAGCTTTGTGAGTTCCCCCATCATACCACATAATCATATACTGTCAGACATATATGGGTGCCCGGCCTACCCTGTCAGGCATATATGGGTGTCCGACCTACCCTGTGTAACATACACGTTTTGAAATCGTGTTTTGTAATGAATAAAATTGTGAAATACTATGTGAAATTGAGTGTTGAGTTCTAACAGATGGTTTTTACTAGAAATGAAGTAAAACTATGTTTAGAATCACTCAAAAAATATTGGAAGTCTTATGAGATTCCAATTAAAAACCAAATAGTGAAATTTAGCGAAAATATAAAATTTTAAATAAATAAAATTATATTATTAAAAGTTGTAAATAATCTCGTTAGAAACTTGTAGGCGAAAACTGTTGGGTTTTGGTCATAAGACATCCTATGTGCTCATACAAACCCTAATGCTTGGATCTAGGTTTCTCTATTGTACATGCTTTGAATCCAAGACTATAAACCCTAATTCTAGCATACATATAATCATATTAACATGAGAATAAGTTTATAGTGTTACCTTGATTGTTATGTAGCAATAACAATCCCAAATCTCCTTGTATTGACTTTGGAAGGCTTAGAGTCACAAGTGTCACTCCTCTAATGGCTCACAAACACCATAAGCAAGTGGAGAAGGTATAAGGAGAGAGGTGAGAGGTTAGAATTCGTATCTAGGACCTCTTGGGAAGGGATACACGAATTCATGACCCTAGGGGTGTTTATATAGGTGTAGAGATAAAGGTTTCAGTCATTATCCTTATCTAGTTGATTATCCATTAAGCAACCAATAAGATAATCCTTGAATCCTTATCATACTCGAATTCTAAGGGATTTACACCTCAAATTCGTTCACCATATATATAAGATAATCCTTACCTTATTTTATAACTATCACATAATTACAAATCAGCCCCTCTAGTTTAATTAATTACATTTGATCACAAAACTAATTCTTAATTAATTATTGACCAATATTAATTAAACAAATATGATTTCTCCTTTAATATATTATTCTTATAACATATTAATAAATCATATTATCCTCTCTCTCTTTATTCATTTCTCCAATCAAGTTGCTTTGGTGAAGGCAACCCAAAAGGACCATGCACCATCGGGTCAAGTACATACCAAAATAGTTATGGACTTAGACACTAATCCAACAGTCTCCCACTTGGATAAGTCTAACAACTATTCTGCGTATGACTTCAGATCCTGATCTGCAATCGTAGCTTTCCAAAGCCGTTGTCAACTCTGATCATATCAGATACGCGTGTCCTTAGATAAGGGATCATATATTCCTCCATTCTTGATATCGTCTGAGACATGATTTCTAATCATTCTCTTTGTACTACTTCTCGATTTCCGATTTATGACGACAGACTAATTGAACAAATCAAATTAGCCCTAGCCCGGCCGAGCATTTACGTATGTCATCACTAAACCATCGAGGGGCCCAAAGATATCGCTTTTATCCTACTTTGGATAAAAGGAACGGATAAACTTTGATACAATGCTTGCTTGCACTCACTCACCGAATTACACACAACAATATGTTTTATAACACCAAGTTACTGGTGCGTTTACATATTATCAATGTGCAACCGATTCGCAAGATACAACTCACACATCTCGGTTTCAAGAATATAAGATGTTATCGTCTCACCAATCACTCGTAATACAATTCATGGAGTGATCCAAGTGAGCGTGGGTTTAATCCAATGCTCAAATCATATTCATAAGCACTCATGAACGTTGCAGCAAACATTTGCTTATGTCTAATACTCTTCTAGACAATCCACACACCAATTCACGACAGTCTTCATTCATATCTACTTCCAACATATGAACGACTGTGGCCCGTTTGAATAATTCGATTATTCTTAATAAACTCAATTATTCTGGAAGTCAAAACATGCAAGGTGAAACACAAGAATAATACTAATCCCATATGGCCTCAAACCTTTGAGTATAAACAAAACACGTTTTATTTATCACCATATCGATTACTCATTATTTGTCGTTTCGGGTAATCAACTTCGCATTTTAATTCCAACACTTGTCCCATGCTCCTAGTATGCACACAATGTTTACCTATGGTTCTTACTTTTGCGAAATAGACAAATTGAACACATTTCCAATCATTCTCATTTTACAACACCAAATCCATTTTCTTAAGTGTAAGAATGTCAAATTCTTGTTACTTATAGAATATACTAGATTCTAACACTTTATGCAACGATCCTTTTGTAATGTCACTGCACCAAAGTCTCAAAGACTATTGCCAATGATATTACAAATTCCTCTATCGGAGATTGTTACAAGACAATTCCTTAGATATGATGTCTCTCACTCAAAGTACATTCCTTTGAACATCCTTTCGCATAAAGTTTCTAATCTAGACATAGATTTTACTTCCCAACATGGACACACTTCCATATTTTCTATATGACAACTCATTCTTAATAGAATCTTATCTATTCGTAATGATGTCGATATCGTCCATCCAATATGGAAACACTTCCATAATTTCCAATACTATACTTCCAACTACTCGCAAGCGACCAATCCTCGTCGAACTTTGGATTGTCCTTTGATAGTTGTTTAATTATTTTAGTCAAAACCAATTCTAGTCCCTTTTCCCTCTAAATGCACTATACATTTGGAAAATTTTAGAATGGTCAAACATTAAAGCATTCGCAATCGATCCTATACCCGAAGCGTATGGGACACGACGCATAATGTTTTATTTGCTATGTTCTCAAAATTCGAATTGCGAAGAGGAATGCCGTAATCACAATCGAAATTTTAAGAACACACTATGTACCTTTGACTAAATTTATTAACATTCCAACCTAATCCTTTAGATTTGAAATGAAGCATAATATTCTCTCCCTTAATTATAGCAAAACAACCTTTCAACTCTTACAACTTTGCAAAGTATGACTCTTGTTTTCTATAATTAATATTGCCAACTATGCAATACGTGCCTTAATAATCATACAATCATAACATTTATGCTCCCACTATCATGATGATTATTATAAAACATAACACTTATGCTCCCACTAGCTTCGACATGTATTCATAAACATCTTAACTTTCAGAAAAACAATACTTATTGAATTTCTTAAGTTCATGTTTCTAATACTTAGTGCTTTGATAATCTTTTATCAAGGCTT